GGGAAGGGGAAACATGTTGTGGGGAGGTAACAGTTCCAAATAGAAAACCTCAATAAAAGAAAGAAACAACAAAGCCAGAATATCAACAAGAATCAGAATTCAACGATTTGCACGACATCACCCTTCGTGCTTTTACTCTCGTCCTTACCCAAAAAATATTTATAATAAAAATGTGCATGGCATCACCCTTCGTGTTTTTACTCTCGTTCTCACCAAATCAATCGTATCATAATAATGTGCACGGTATCACCCTTTGTGAGTTTACTCTCTTTCCTTACCACATAGTCAATGAATATCGGTACGGAATGGTACATCGTACGGCATGACATCACCCTTCGTGCTTTACACTCTTTCTTCACAATAGTAAACAATGCACGACATCAACCTTCGTGTTTTAACACTCTTCCTCACCCAAACAACAATCACAAACAAAGGGGCAAGGGAGTAGACAAATAATGGTAGAAATCACGGCAAGGGAATACAATTAAACAGCTAAATCCTGGCAACAGAACAATATCAATAAATCTCAACATCTCAGCAAGGGAGATAATCAACAAAGCAACAAACATCCCAGCAAGGGTACAATTCAATAACTCTTTCTCTTTCTTTCACTTATTACTTTATAACTCTCTTTACCACTTGAGTCAATGCTCCAAAGGGTTCAATTATCTCATATACTTTCACAATTCGTATTATAACTCGAGCCAATGCTCCTCGAAGTTCAAAGATCACAATTTCTTTCACATGCTTTTTACAACATATAGAAATCATCATTAAGGCATGAAAGATACAACAAAAATCAGAATATCCGCAATATAAAGACTCACGGTCATACTAGACACCAACCTCTAGATACTTGTCACCATGCCTATACGTCATACTCGACAATTAGCACGTAGCAAATAAGACTCAACTCCTAATCCCTCAAGCTAAGGTTAGACCAAACACTTACTTCAAACTTCCACGGCCAAATCAATCCTCAATTACCTCTTTTCCTCTCGAATTTGGCTCCAAATCGATTGTCTCCAAAATGAACTCCTGGGAATTTTGCCTTACTCGTTCACGAGTGAGTCCACGCGAACGCGAAGAACAAATACCCTATGCACAACAGCAAAAAATCTGTAACACTTCTAAGGCCAAAAACCATTCCGAAACACCTCCGAAACACTCCCGAGCCCTCGGGGGCTCCTAACCAAACACACGTACTAACTCAACAACATCATACGAACTTATCCATGCGATCAAATCGCCAAACTAACCTAAAAAACAATGAATCAAACCTCAAAATCAAGAGTCTTTCCAGAAACTTCATCAAGTTGAAATTTAAGATTTCAAGTCCGAATCACGTCAAATGACGTCCGATTTTAACCAAACTTTGTAGAAACATCTTAAATCATATATAAGACTTGTACCGGGCGCAGGAACAAAAATACGGGACCGATACCAACTCGTTCTAATCAAATTTCATTTCAATTTTCCTTACCAATTTGAGAAAAATAATTTCCTTTAAAAAATTCACTTCTCGGGCTCGGGATCTCGAAATTCGATTCCGGGCATATGCCTGAGTCCCATATTTACCTACGGACCCTCCGGGACCGTCAAATCACAGGTCCGGGTTCGTTTACCCAAAAGGTTGACCGAAGTCAAATTTATTCATTTTAAACTCAAAACTTAGCATTTTTCACAGAATTTCATATTTAAGCTTTCCGGTTACGCGCTCGAACTGCGCACGCAAATTGAGGCGACTCTAAATAAGGTTTTCAAGGCCTAAGAAGCACAGAATGGATAAGAAAATAGGTACATTCTCCACCTCTAAAACAATCGTTTGTCTTCGAACGGAGAGAAGAAGGAAGTACTAGAGTCGGGGAATAGATGAGGATAACGGCTCCGCATATCGGACTTGGACTCCCAAGTCGATGCCTCAGGACGCTGACCTCTCCACTGAACATGAACAGAAGGGAAACTCATGGATCTCAGCTGACAAACCTGCCGGTCTAGAATAGCTATCGGCTCTTCCTCATAGGACAAGTCCTTGTCCAACTGGACAATGCTGAAATCTAACATGTGGGATGGATCGCCGTGATATTTCCGGAGCATGTACACATGAAAAACTGGATGCACGGCTGATAAGCTCGGCGGCAATGCAAGTCTATAAGCCACCTCCCCCACTCGATCAAGAATCTCAAATGGACCAATGAACCTAGGGCTAAGCTTGCCCTTCTTCCCAAATCTCATCACGCCCTTCATAGGNTATCTTCCAGTATCTGAATAGTCCGCTCGGACTGCCCGTTCGTCTGAGGATGAAATGTTGTACTCAACTCAACCTGGGTGCCCAACTCTCGCTGAACTGCTCTCTAGAAATGCAAGGTGAACTGCGTACCTCGGTCCGAAATGATAGATACCGGCACACCATAAAGGCAAACAATTTCTCGGATATAGATCTCAGCTAACCTCTCGGATGAATAGGAGACTGCCACAAGAATGAAATGCGCTGACTTGGTTAGCCTATCAAAAATGTCCCAAACTGCGTCGAACTTCTTCCGAGTCAACGGAAGTCCAGTAACAAAGTCCATAGTGATCCACTCCCACTTCCACTCGGGAAGCTCATTCCTCTAAAATAAACCACTAGGCCTTTAATGCTCGTACTTAACCTGATGACAATTCAAACACTGTGCCACATATGCCACAATATCCTTCTTCATTCTACGCCACCAATAATGTTGTCGCAAATTCTGATATATCTTCGCAGCGCCCGAATGAATAGAGTACCGGGAACTATGGGCCTCCTCTAAAATCAACTCCTGAAGCCCATCCACATAGGCACACAAACTCGACCCTGTAATCTCAAAACTCCATCAGCATTTAAGGTAACCTGCTTGGCACCTCCACACTGCATCATGTCTCTAAGAATAACAAATGGGGATCATCAAACTACCGATCACGGATATGCTCAAATAATAAAGAACGAGCGACCGTGAAAGCTAATACTCAACTAGGCTCAAAAATATCCAACCTCACAAATCGATTAGCCAAAGCCTGAACATCCAAAGCAAGCGGCCTCTGACTGGCCGGAATATAAGCAAGACTACCCATACTGGCTGACTTCCTACTCAAAGCATCATCCACCACATTGGCTTTCCCCCGGTGATATAAGATAGTGATGTCATAATCCTTCAACAACTCCAACCACCTTCTCTGCCTCAAATCAACTCCTTTTGCTTGAACATGTACTGAAGACTCTTGTGGTCAGTGAACACCTCACATGCCACTCCATACAAATAGCGCCTCCAAATCTTCAATGTGTGAACAATGGCTGCCAACTCCAACTCATGCACTGGATAGTTCTTCTCATGAATCTTCAACTACCTCGAAGCATAGGCAATGACCTTGTCATCCTGCATCAACACTGCACCAAGCCCAATACGGGAAGCATCACAATAGACAACGTAAGACCCTGAACCTATGGGCAAAACTAACACTGGTGTCGTAGTCAGAGCTGTCTTGAGCCTTTGAAAGCTCGCCTCAGACTCGTCCGACCATCTGAATTGGGCACCCTTCTAGGTCAACCTGGTCATCGGGGCTACAATAGATGAAAACCCCTCCACGAACCGACGATAGTAGCCTGCCAATCCCAAGAAACTCCGAATCTCTGTAGCTGATGCTGGTCTAGGCCAGTTCTTGACTGCTTCAATCTTCTTTGGATCAACCTGAATACCCTCTACTGACACAACATGACCTAGGAATGCAATTGAACTCAACCAGAACTCACACTTTGAGAACATAGCATATAACTGACTATCCTTCAGAGTCTGAAGAATCACTCTGAGATGCTGCTCGTGCTCCTTCTGGCTACGGGAATATATCAAAATATCATCAATGAAGACGATCATGAACGAGTCCAAATAAGGCCTGAACACTCGGTTAATCAAATCCATAAAGGCTGCTGGGGCATTTGCCAAGCCGAACGACATAACCAAGAACTCATAATGCCCGTACCAAGTGCAGAAAGCTGTCTTAGGGACATCGGATGCCCTAATCCTTAACAGATGGTAGCCAGATCTCAATTCAATCTTTGAAAATACCTTGGCACCCTGAAGCTAATCGAACAAATCATCAATCCTCGACAGTAGATACTTATTCTTGATGGTGACCTTGTTCAACTGCCGGTAATCAATGCACATTCTTATCGAACCATCCTTTTTCTTAACAAAAAAATACCGGTGCGCCCCAAGGCGAAACGCTGGATCTAATGAAACCCTTCTCAAGCAAGTCTTACAACTACTCCTTCAACATTTTCAACTCTGGAGGGGCCATGCGATACGGCAGAATAGAAATGGGCTGAGTGCCCAGAGCCAAATCAATGCAGAAGTCAATATCCCTGTCGGGTGGCATCCTCGGCAGGCCTGAAGGGAATACCTCAGGAAACTCGCGAACAACAGGCACATAATCAATAGAGGGAACCTCAGCACTAGAATTGCGAACATATGCAAAATACCCCTTCTCGACCATACGTCGAGCCTTCACATACGAGATAACACTGCGGGTAGAATGAACAGGAGTCCCTCTCCATTCTAAACGGGGCAAATCCGTTAAGGCTAAGGTCACAATCTTGGCATGACATTCCAAGATAGCATGGTAAGGTGATAACCAGTCCATCCCAATATAACATCAAAATCAACCATGTCTAAAAGCAACAAATCTACATGAGTCTCAAGACCCCCAATCACCACAATACAAGAACGATGAACTCGATCGACCACAATAGAATCACCCACCGGTATAGACACATAAACATAAATACTCAATGAATCACTAGGCATGACCAGGTACGGTGCAAAATAAGATGACACATACGAATACGTAGACCCCGAATCGAATAACACTGAAGCATCTCTATCACAAACTAGAATAGTACCTATAATAACTGCATCTGAAGCCTCAGCCTCGGGCCTAGTTGGAAGGGCGTAACATCGGGGCTAGGCCCCACTTCCCTGAACTACCTGTCTGGGACGACCTGCTGCTGGCTGGCCTCCACCTCTAGCGGCCTGAGCTCTACCTTTAGGACCTTTACCTCCACCTCTAGCACCTCTAACCCCACCTCTAACTGGATGGGTGGACTGTGGAACACCTTGTTCCTGTACCATAGCACGAGAACCCGGATGCTGAGAGCTACCCGGTGCTCGAGGGCAAAACCTGGAAATGTGACCCGAATCACCACAAGTGTAACAAGCCCTCGGCTGCTGAGACTGCTGGCCCTGTCGACCTAAATGACCACCTCGGAAACTCTAAAGTGGCGGTGCACTGATGGGAACTGGTGGTGCACTGTAAGGCTGCTGATTAGAATAATGCATTTGAGAACCACGACCACCTGAAGTACCATGTGAGACCTGGAGAGCTGACTGAAAGGGCCTAGGAGGATGGCCTCTACCATATGAATCTCTACCTCCAGACGAGGTACCACTGAATCTGCCCAAATGACGGGGCCTCTTATCCGACCCATGACCACCTCCCTATGACAGAACCATCTCAACTTTGCGGGCCACATTGACCGTCTCCTGAATTGTGATCTCACTCCCAGCCTCCTTGGCCATCTGAAGACGAATCGGCTGAATAAATCCATCAATAAACCTCCTCACCCTCTCTCTCTCTCTCTCCCTCTCTCTCTCTCTCGGTGGGAAGTATGACAAGAGCATGGCGAGCTAGATCTATGAACCTGGTCTCATACTAGGTGACCATCATGGAACCCTGCTGGAGGCACTCAAACTACCTCCGAAAGGCCTCTCTCTGAGTCACGGGGAGAAACTTCTCCAAAAAGAATGCTATGAACTACTCCCAAGTCAAAGATGGCGAACCGGCTAGTCTAGCTAAGCAATAATCCCTCCACCAAGTCTAGGCGGATCCAGACAGACGAAAGGTAGCAAAATCAACTCCACTGGTCTCAATGATCAACATGTTTCGAAGAACCTCGTGACAACTGTCCAAATAATCTTGGGGATCCTCAGTAGATGCACCGCTGAATGTAGACGTAAAGAGCTTGGTGAACCTATCCAGCCTCCACAAAGCATCGGTGGACATAGCCGCTCCATCGCCGGTCTGAGCTACTACACCCGGTTGAAGTGCCACAGCTGGTTGAACCGCTGGAACCTGAACTTGGGGAGCTACCTGCTCCGGAGTGCGCATAAAAGGAGTTTGAGCCCCTCCTCCAGCCTGAGAAGTGGTTGGTGATGCAGGAAGCAAACCTGCTTGGGGACACTCTCCATGAGGCCCACTAATCAGACTAGAGCGTCCTAAAGAACTAGGGTGGCAATGAACCCCTCTAGGACCTGAGCTAGGCCCACCAGAGCTGCTGGAGCCGGAACATCCTCCTCAAAATCAACTTGAGGCTCCGCCATTGATGCTGCTTCTCGGGGCTGAGCTTTGCCCCTACCTCGGCCTCTAGCACGGCCTCGGCCTCGCCCTCTGCGCCTAGTGGGAGCTGCTGCTGGGGGATCGGGCTACTGAGTGGTAGATGATAAAGCGCGTGTTCTCGCCATCTGCGAAAGAATAGAGTAGAAATCTAATTAGCATTTGAGGAACAAATCCGCACGACAAGAAAGAACAAATGTGAACTTTTCCTAACTTTGTAGCCTCTAGGGGATAAATACAGACGTCTCCGTACAGATCCCTCAGACTCTACTGAACTTGTCCGTGAGTTGTGAGACCTATGTAACCTAGAGCTGTGATACCAACTTTTCATGACCCAGATTTTTCCACCTTTGGGAGTCGTGATGACGCCTAATAATGAGAGCGCGGCAAGCCAACCCTTAACTACCTTTTTCATTAATAAATTACTTCTTTTAACAATTATCAGTGATAACATGAAAATAGCGGAATTAAATAAATAAGCGGAAGACCTAAATTATATAAGCTGAACAATAATGCAAAAGTCAACATGTGCTTCTACCCAAGAATTGGTGTCACATCACACACGAACTACTAAGAGTACTAAATACCACCGTTTGAAAGAAATATAACATTGTTTGTCTCGAATATATGAGATAACAGAATGAAATATAAGATAGAGGAGACGCCGAGCCTGCGGACGCCTGCAAGGCTACCTCGGTGTCTCGGTGGACTGAAGGCTGGCTCCCGCGCTACTGCTGCTATCCAATACCTGGATCTGTGCAAAAGAGCACAGAATGTAGTATCAGCACAACCGACCCCATATGCTGGCAAGTGCCTAGCCTAACCTCGGAGAAGTACTGACGAGGCTATGACCAGACAACCAAATAACCTATGCAGTTCAAATATCTATATGTACAGCGGAAAAGAATTACCGGAAATAATCAGTCAATGTGGGAAGGGGAAACATAATATGGGGAGGTAACAGTTTCAAATGGAAAACCTCAATAAAAGAAAGAAACAACAAAGCTAGAATATCAACAAGAATCAGAATTCAACGATTTGCACGGCATCACCCTTCGTGCTTTTACTCTTGTCCTCACCCAAACAATATTTATAATAAAAATGTGCATGACATCACCCTTCGTGCTTTTACTCTCATTCTCACCAAATCAATCGTATCATAATAATGTGCACGACATCACCCTTCGTGTTTTTACTCTCTTTCCTCACCACATAGTCAATGAATATCGATACGGAATGGTACATCATATGGCACGGCATCACCCTTCGTGCTTTACACTCTTTCCTCACAATAGCAAACAATGCACGGCATCACCCTTCATGCTTTAACACTCTTCCTCACCCAAACAACAATAACAAACAAACGCGCAAGGGAGTAGACAAATAATGGTTGAAATCCCAGCAAAGGACTACAATTAAACAGCTAAATCCCGGCAAGGGAATAGTATCAATAAATCTCAACATCCCAGAAAGGGAAATAATCAACAAAGCAACAAACATCCCAGCAAGGGAACAATTCAATAACTCTTTCTCTTTCTTTCACTTCTTTCTTTATAACTCTCTTTACCACTTGAGTCAATGCTCCAAAGGGTTCAATTATCTCATATACTTTCCCAATTCGTATGATAACCGAGCTAATACTCCTCGAAGTTCAAAAATCACAATTTCTTTCACATGCTTTTTACAACATATAGAAATCATCATTAAGGCATGAAAGATACAACAAAAATCAGAATATCTGCAATATAAAGACTCACGGTCATACTAGACACCAATGTATAGATACTCGTCACCATGCCTATACGTCGTACTCGATAATTAGCACGTAACAAATAAGACTCAACTCCTAATCTCTCAAGTTAAGGTTAGACCAAACACTTACTTCAAACTTTCACGACCAAATCAATCCTCAATTACCGCTTTTCCTCTCGAATTTGGCTCCAAATCGATTGTATCTATACAATAATGACTTCAATACATCAATAAATGCTAAACAATGCGAACCTAATGCCTAATTATAGCTTTCCAAACATTCTTCCCAAAATCCCAAAAATCGACCCCGGGCCCGCGTGGTCAAAATACGAGGTTCGTACCAAAATCAAATCACCCATTCACCCACGAGCCCGAGTATATAATTTGTTTTCAAATTTGACCCCAAAACGAGGTCTAAATCAAGAAAAATCAAAAAGCTCTAACTCTACCCAATTCCCTAATTTCTGCCCTTAATTACATGTTTTAGGCCTAGAAATTCAATAGATGTTGATGTAAACGGAAGGAAATAAGTTAAGGACTACTAACCCAAGAGTTTATGGTGAAAGTATGCTTCAAAAGTCGCCCTAGAACTTTGGAGAAGAAGGAGTTTGTGAAGTTTTGTGAAAATCCCGTAATGGTTCTGTTTTGGGGTTTTAAAATAACTGGGCAAAATTGCCCTTCACGTTCGCGATGGGCATCTCGCGTTCACGATGGTCCAGGTCTGAAGACCTTCGCGTTCTCGACACAGGGGATCGCATTCACGGAGTGTAATCTCCTCGAGCCTCGCGTTCGCATGCCATGAGCCGCGTTCGCGCTAAACAAATTTGGTGGCCCTTCCCCCTGTACCCTACGCGTTCGCGAAGGGTCAACCCCCCTCAGCTTCGCATTTGTGTCACCAACTTCGCGTTCGCGAAGAAGAAAATGAACTTCTGGGAATTTTGCCTTACACGTTCGCGAGTGAATCCACGCGAACGCGAAGAACAAATTCCCTGTGCACAACAGCAGAAAATCAGCAACACTTCTAAGGCCAAAAACCATTTCAAAACACTCCCGAGCCCTCGGGGCTCCTAACCAAACACACGTACTAACTTAACAACATCATACGAACTTATCCATACAATCAAATCGCCAAACTAACCTCAAAAACAATGAATCAAACCTCAAAATCAAGAGTTTTTCCAGAAACTTCATCAAGTTCAAATTTAAGATTTCAAGTCCGAATCATGTCAAACGACATCCGATTTTAACCAAACTTTACAGAAACATGTTAAATCATATATAACACCTATACCGGGTGCCGAAACCAAAATACGGGCCCGATACCAACTCGTTCTAATCAAATTTTATTTCAATTTTCTTTAACAATTTAAGAAAAATAATTTCCTTTAAAAAATTCACTTCTCGGGCTCGGGACCTCGAAATTCAATTCCTAGCATAAGCCCGAGTCCTATAGTTTCCTACGGACCCTCCGAGACCATCAAATCACATGTCTGGATCCGTTTATCCAAAATGTTAACTGAAGTCAAATTTATTCATTTTAAACTCAAAACTTAGCATTTTTTCCAGAATTTCATATTTAAGATTTCCAGCTACATGCCGGGACTGCGCGTGCAAATTGAGATGACTCTAAATGAGGTTTTCAAGGCCTCAAAAACATAGAATGGATTAGAAAACAAGTGATGACCCTTTAGGTCGTCACACACGGGAATGCGAAAAAGGGTCGCCTAGGTAGTGCATAAGTTTGCAAAAATGGGTTTGGCTCATTTCATCTCATTTCCTCCATGGGAGATGACCTAGGAGCGATTTTGGAGCTCCATCTTCATCATCTATATCAAGGTAAGTGATTCCCACCTATTACAATTTGAATACTTGGATTATATATAGATTATAACATGGAAATTCATGGAAAATTAGTGGAAATTTGGGATTTTGGTAGAAAACCTAAAAATTAGTATTTTTGGATTTTAACCACGGATTTGGGCATGGAATTGAGAATATATTATATATTTGAGTTCATGATGTTATGGATAATGTTTATCTTCGAAAATTTTCGAAATCCAGTCACTTGAACCTAGGGTTGATTTTATCGACTTTTAGAACATAGTTGGAAATTATTATAAATTTGATTATAATAAGTATTGGAGTATATATTTATTAATTTGCACATTTATTGACTAGTTTTGGAGCATTGGGCATTGGTTTGAGTTGTTGAAAAGGCTTGGGAGCCGGCTATGGAACTTCGGAGCGAGGTAAGTCTCTTTTCTAATCTTGTAAGAGGGAATTAACCCCATAGGTGAATTGAATTAATATGTGATTCTAAGTGTGGGGGATACATACGCACGAGGTGACGAGAGTCCATGCATAGCTACTATTATTCTTATGTACGGATAGTCTAGGACCCAAATGATGTTATATTTGCTATGTTTGCATCCTAATTATTAATTTAATTGTTAATATATTGGAACATTATAAGGAAGTTGTAAAAGGTTAAACTTTACCTACTTGAGTTTTGGACGGGTCATTTGACTGTTAATGAGAATTTATATTTCTTTGAACATTAGCCCTTAATAAATCTTGAATTCGTTGTTTATATGTATTTTCTCTTATTGTGGAGCGGTCCGAATGCCTCGGTAGAAGATAGATGCATCTATGGTTGGTGTCGTTCGACCCTCGACAGCGCACAATTTATATTTATGTTGGATCGGGTCGTACGACCTCGGCATTATTTGTGCATGATTGATTTGGTTATTCTGGAATTCATAATAATTGATATTACTTTATTGGCCTGAGATATAAAAAGGTAAATGAAATAAAACAAAAAATGAATTTGGAAATTTCTTATTAACAAATAATTGTTTACTTACTTCATAATATTGAGTTTACCGCCGCTCTATACCATCCATGCTTAATCATATCATCGATATTTGTATTTACAGCCCATAGTGAGTGTCGGAGTCGACCCCTCATCACTACTTCTTCGAGATTAGACTGGATACTTACTGGGTGTGCGTTGATTTACGTACTCATACTACACTTGTTGCACACTTTTGTGCATGTACATATATGTCTAGTGGCCTGTGAGAGCAGAGGCGTGGTTAAGTGCGGGGACTTAGGTGAGCTGCATTTCCACATTTCGGCCTACAGCTAGCAGAGTCTCCTTCAGAGTTACTTATGTATTTTCCTGTCTAATTTGTATTCCGGACAGATGTTGTATTTTATCTTATCTTCCTAGTTC